TTGTGTGTTTGACGTCCTCTTTGTGATGATATGTGGAGCTGTATCTGTAAAAAAGATTCCCATGGCACTCCTGTAAAGCTGTAGAGGTTCACACAGGGGTTCAGCGTGATACCTTTGGTGCAAGCAGCAAACTTATCAATCCTCTGAGAAATCAAGCAGCTTAAGCAAACTGTCTTTCCTGGCCAGGAAATGGGCAGGCTGCTCAAACACTAACTTGCCTGCATCAACATCTTTCAAGAGGTGCCATTTATAGGTACTCAAGGTCCTGAGAAACAGGTGAGAGATGTAGGAAGGGATGCCAGATGTTCTTGTGGCTGAAACAGAGAGAATGAGACGCATGTGGGGTGGGGTAAGGGGGAGTAAACTAAACTAAAGCTGGGTATTTGACCTTGTGTGTAGCATTTCTCAGAAACAATCATATTACACCTCAGTAAGTTCCTTTGCACCTCCCCCTGGTTTGATGGTGTTCAGCCGCAACCTCAAGCTCCACACACGCTCTCCGTCTCCGCTGAGTCACAAAATCCAAGTTGTCTAACTATTATTAGTAGATAATGTCACACAGTTGTCAATTTCACAAGCACGTACTTTAACATTGTAAAAATTGTCTTCGAAGACAATCATGCAACAGGTGCAAAGTGATTGTCTTCGAAGACAATTTTTACAATGTTAAAGTACGTGCTTGTGAAATTGACAACGCGTGACATTATCTACTAATAATAGTCTATGATAATAAACTTCTTAATCTTCTGCAATTTTTGTATATTATGGGGGAGACCAGGGCTTTTGTCAAATGCAAATGACCAGTAGATTAATGTTGCTTTCAAACATTGTGCTTAAATTTGTTAACTCTGTTTACAAACTAAAAATTTAAAAATGTATTTTTTTGTAACATATTTGTATATATATAGGCCTAATGCTTTTTTGTTAACTAATATTTTTGCTGCTTCATGGATTGTACATTAATTTTGTTTGTGTTTTGCTGAAAAGCCATTTATAGGCTTTTTAATAGTTCAGTCAGTGATAACCTTTCTATATGCGGTCAGTAACCTTTATCATTTCCCCTCAGCATTAACAGTGGAAATATTCAGTTTCTGTCAAGACTTCAAGATATGTGCCTAAACTGACTTTCAGAAATAAAATTAAACCAAAAATATATCAAGCTATTCACTGGATTAAGTGTTTATGGTTATATAGTCGGAACATTTGCAGTATTCAATAATAATAATAAAAAAAGGGTCAAACCCCAATGACTGTTTCAATGAGCAAAAAAATATCAAATTTGGGAAAAGTTGTAAGAATACAAGCTGTTGATTGTAAACCAAAAAATACTAAATGTATAATTTGCTTTAACATTAAACATAAAGCCTATTTTTGTCAACTAAATAAAGCCTAGAGGCTACTGATAAAATACTCAACAGTTTCCTACATGCAGCCACTTCCAGCATCTAGAGACTTTAGAACTGTATGAGCTCTTCACCGTGCTGCAGGCATGGAAAGAAAACAAAACAATTTTCCAAACCTCTGGGTTTATTTTATTTGCTTCGCTTTTGTGCTGTTACAGCCTTAGACCCCTTATTAATGTCAGTCAGTAAAAATGACCTACTGTTTGCTTTTGTCATCATCATTTTCATGAAGTTTCCTCATCTTGCTCTCGCATTTCAAATAAACTTCTTCGCGCCAAAACGTTCCTTGCGTGAACAGTCATTTCCCAGAAACATTATAGTCAGAACTCTACAATAAATGGATCAGTGTGTAAACAATGTAATATTCTACATTATGAGGCAACAAACCAGAAATGTAGTGTGTGTACTGCTGCCCCCCACTGAGCAGCAGTGATACTCGCAGCAATGACCCGCTCCTGCCCTCTTCGACAGCAGGACAAGAGCAGTACAATAAGCAGATGCTCTGCGCTAATCAATGCCATATTTTCAGTTCCAGCACTGATAAAAGAAACAGACCTAGCATCTGATCTATGTTCAATCACCATATTAATCACTCTGGTGCCTATAAGGGCAATCAATCCGTTTCATTTCATTCCGCTTAAACCTGATCGTTTCAGTGTATTTAAATCTGGATAGCAGCGCGTTTGTTACGGCAATAATAAATTTGGATGTCAGCAAACATTGTGATAAAGAAAAGAACCATGAGATCATAATTTACATTCAAATAGCTATGCTAAATGGATATTCACCCGAAACTGAATGAAAAAAAAAAAAAAAAAAAAAAAAAAAAATCTGTCCTCATGTCTTTCCAAACCCATGGGGCTTTATTCGGCAGGACATATATACTTCCGTGTAGACACACAAGTCAATGGGAACTTTTTTTTCATGCATCACAGAGGAAAGCAAGTCATACAGGTTTTAAACGACATAAAGAGGAGTAATGAGATATTTTTAAAAATTTGAGTGGATTTTCCCTTTATCATTTTAGACAGGATTCCAGAACAACTGATGATTGAAAAACACAATGAACAGAATGTAGAATGAATCTAAACTCACTTTCAATTGCTTTTATGTCTATTATATCTTAACACGTAGTTATTTGTATGTGCATAAAACGATTCAAAAACTGAGACATAACATTAGCCTACTGTTATAGTGCTAAACTGTTAGTGTCTTACAGACTGTTCCACAGATGCATCATGTGCAATAATTGTTTATGGTTCATTGCACAAGCACGAAAAACACTTTCCAAAAAAGATCTGTAAAGCTGATTTGGATTTTACAAAATGATCTTTGAAATACAAGATCCTGAAAAAAGGATGTTTCTTTTTCTGTTGTTGCTGCTGAGTTTAGCTGAATTACTTGAATTCATGAATGCATTTTATAAAAAGACTGCTGTAAGGAGGGTTATTTAAGGACAGCTCATGTGAGGCTGCAGACTAGCCAATGGTGATGAGAAGCACAGTGTCATGTCTCCATTTCCCAGATACCCCTGCTGATTCCTGATGTTGTTGTCATACTCATTCTGAGTCACAGTATAAAGCCAAAGCAATCTTGTCCAGGTGTTAAAGGTTCAGAGGAGCTTTGTTGACCCCCTCAGACATGGTGAGAGCTCTGTTAAAGAATGATTCATTTTCCTCACCACATGTGCCACACAGAGAGAGACACTGGCACTCTACCAGCAGTGCTTACATGATTAAAAACAAACAGCACGACTGAAGTATACAATGCGCTATTTGACCAATCCCACTGAGAATATATGGATGGACTGGACATGAAAAGGGCTGTCCACTAGACTAGACACAAGATTGGGGAAGGAATTGACGAGGCCAGATATGCAAAGGTGATAGAGATGTTTTCACAGACTCAAGGTTGTAGCTACTGCCTTGAGGCGTGAGAAAACGATTGTGAAAACGATTTTGTTGTTTTCTAGGACTGATCAATTTTGACTTAAATCCTGTAATAGAGTTAGTTTTTTGTTCAAAACAAGAATATAATAAATATTAAAAGAGTAAAATATTTTGGTATATACTCCAGGTGCTTCACTGTCATCAGTCATGTTAAATTTAGGTTGTCATAAATAAAAAAACAAAGTCAAAAGTAATATTATTTCCCCTGCTGGTTTGGATGTAACATCTCATCCTGGCTTGAATGGTTAAAAAATTTTTTTTAAAGATCCATCCAGGTTATAGTGGACATCATGCATCCAAAAAATGTAGTACTATTAATATCTGTTGCATGTGAACAGAAAGGTTTCTGACAAAACCACCGCTTCCCCTCAACCCACAAAATTGTTTTGCATCCCATGCAAGTCTTTGGAATTGCAAAGTAAGAGTTTTGTTTGCCTTAAAACAACATACACAAACTGTAATGTTACAAAAAGAGCTTTAACAATATAATTTCTATAAAAAAAACATTACCAAGTCTGAAATCTTATAGTCCCCTGTGTTTCATAAAATGACAGCTATGATCTTTTTTTATTCATTTGATTTTGGACTGATTTTTTTTTTTTTTTGCATAACTGATGCGTTCTGGGAGATTATGCAATTATTTTAAAAATAGCCCAATTTGACAGAAATGATAAAACTGTAACTAGATTTTTTTTATTTCATGTAAAAAAAAAAGAAAAAAGTGGTTAGTTTTAAATATAGCATCAAAGAAAAACACTTTCAGTTGAGACATCATTAACAAAAGGCTGCTTTTATTTGAAACCCATTTTCATATTTCGTCTTTCAATCTAAAAATACACTGATCATGCATTTTACAGAAAATAATTCAATAAAGACACCCATACAAAAATTAATAACAACAAATTTTGATATTCCATTTATTCAAATAGTACTCTCTTCATAATCATGATTCATACCTCATACTTAATTTAAAACGGTACAAAATTTAGCACATTAATCACTGGACCGCTACAGTAAGGCCTGACTAAAACAAACCAGAATTAATAGTAGCAAACGGCATCTGCAGTATCTACAATTATCTATTTACAATGCTTCACTTTGAGATCAGCTCTCAGGCTACGAGATTCCTTTGGTCATGCATGAAAATCAGCTTCACCGAATAAAATACAAACTGACACACAAGCGTTTTTAGTGTACCTAAGGTGAACCCACCACAACACTGATGTACCATCTTGACAGGAACAGAAGAAAAATACTGTTATTAATAGGGTAACTGAAATCTCAACAGGCCAACCTGGATGTAGAGCTTCACAAAGCAATCTTTCTGACATCACATCTGTTCACACAAGAGGACAAGTTGCTTGTAGTCAAAGCTCAAGAATCAGTAGTGAGATTTGTTTAATAGCCATAAAAGTGCTTGCGACTGAAAAAAAGAGAGACTCAAGATAAAAGCAAAATGCCGCTCCTTCTGGTGACCGTGCAGACATGGAATGAAATGAAACTACACAACTCTTTAGATGGCAAAATATAAGGCTTTCAAATGATTGGATGGGACATGAGAAATTAAAACCACAATTGTTTCTGCTATTTCCAGCCATTATTCACGCAGGCACTGGTATGTGTTTCACATTGCTACAAAATATTGGTTTCGTACGTTTGTAAAATGCAGTCTCTTCATCCACACCACACACACCCATACCTTGTTCAAGAACAGCTTCGGTCAAGCCAGAGGTTCCTTCAATGACATTTAGGCTTGGTACAAGTCTGTGGCACGTTCAGCAGGTTTCACAGCAGGTTGTGTTTATACAGCATTATTGATCAACGGTCTCTCACTGTCACAGAGAAAATGTAGCAAGTCAGGAACGGCAGAGACGCACTCGATCTTGAGTTCATGTCAAGAGTCGGGTTCGTCGGGTTGAGAGTCTGTCCGGTGAAAAGAAGGCTGGTTCAGTCGAACTCCTCAGTGCTGGGTTTATCTGACCACCATCACAGGCCTGAGGACTGAGCCGAGTAATAGGGGCTATTAACCTGGAAGAGCAGAGAGGATATTCCTGAGCACAGTCGAATAAAGACAAACAGTAGTAAAGGTTACGTTTGGTCACGGACTGGCTGAGAGGCACTGATGCGCTCCAAAAAGCCAGAAGGCAAATTGGAAAGAGGTTCCTTATTACCACAGCATAAGCTCAAGACACACCTACATCCTAGAGAGCTTGGCACAAATATGAAGGTAGATTTAAATCTAGCTGCACTGTACATCGGAACCAAGGGGTTGTATTTACCATAGAAATACAAATATCCAGTAGGCAAATATTTATGCAAGTATTTGGTAAGGATTATGGATAATCTGGAGAGGAACGCATGTAAGGATTCCAATAGCCAAATGAGCACTTAGGGAAAGTGATGTGCTGGGAATGAATAAGTGTCTGTTGCTACTGTATGACTCACAGCACAGCAGATGATTCACTACCTGAAGCTGTGAGGTCAATCTAGCAGAAGTGCTTTAGGCCTTCAGGTCAAATTAATGCAAAAGGAGATTCTGCAAAGAGCACAGGAAATGAATAAGAATAAAAAATAAAATAAATAAAAAAGCACAGTTGTGTGATTTTAGCTCAAATGAGGAGGTAGTTGGAGCGTTTGTGTTTTCTCCAGCTCCAGAATCGCTCAGCGCGGGGTTTCTCTCACTTTTGAAATCTGATTTTGTACTTTTGACAATTCACACAAATAAAATTATGCAACTTAATCTTTCACATTATACTTTTTTAGGTAATGAAATCAGAATTTTTTTTAATTTTTTTTTATTCACACACAAGAAAAATCGGTAACACTTTATTTTAAGGTGCTTGTAATAAGCAGTAATTAACAGTTAATAAGACACTTATAAGACCTTATAAGATGCATAAAAGCATTAACTAATGATAATAAATAAATTAAATTAAATAATACATTTCTCAAGTATCAATACATTGGACTTTTAGAACAGCCGAACAAACATAAATGGTAACACAAACTCCCAGTCACTTAAAAATTGACCTTCCCAAGAGGGAGTAGTTTCTCTGATCTCTTCAGGGCCTGTGCCCGGTTGCATAAAGCACCTTAAGTGTAATTTTCCCTTAAAGTCGCCCTTATGTTTCCCTTAAACCTAAAGGGGGTCGCACACCGGACGAGAAGCGCAGCGCCGCGTCGCGCAGCGCCAGGTCTTTAAAATTCGAACACATTATTCTCTATGAGTGTACACACACCGGCGGCGCCATTCGGCGTCTGTCTGCGGCGCCCAGCTACGGCTCAGGACCTTGTTCAAAACCCTGCCGCGCCACAGAGCGCCATTTGCATAGTTGTATATTAAATTTACATTTATTTGTCTCAAATCGTCGTTAATGTACATGGCTTCACCCCGTGCTGTTTTCACTCGGGTTAGCTAAACGCTAGCTAAATAAATACTATTGTATTATGTGACATAGTTGCCTAGACAACGGATAACGTTACAACAAAATAACAGACTCAACGTGATAGACACTTTTACTTGATTAACGTTCAAACATCAGCTATTATTCAATGAACATAAAAAATAAATAATTAATCAATATAAAACACACATCGTGCAGCTCTTCTACCAGGAGTTGATTCAAAATTGTGCTCGCGCGATTAGAATGTCCGGTGTGCGATACTGGAGTTGTCCTAGACGTGGCGCGACGCGGCGCTGCGCTTCTCGTCCGGTGTGCGTCGCGACCCACTTTAAGTGTTACTTAACGTTTTTTTTTTAAGTGAAACGTCATAAACACTTAGAATTTCCCTTAAATGCTGTTTTTTCACTTAAAACCCTTTGACGCGTACGATCACACCGGTGTGATCAGTCTTGGCTGGTCCCTGGAGCGTACGATCACACCGGTGTGATTAGAACGGTCAGTGCATCACGTGATCAACTGCTAAATTCAAACGTGCTTTCGCGCGTTGGCTGGCGCTGAGCCAGAGATGGACGCACTCAGTGCTGTCATATATCACAACTATTGAGTATTTTAAACCACATAATGTTTATTTTAGGTTTCAGACATTTAAATACACATAAGTACTAGCAAAACAGTGATTTTGAATTAGTAAAATAGACACTGATGTCTATGGAAACGGCTACAATAATCATTTCCATTATAATAAGACAAAACGTTTTATTCATATCAGATACACATTGTGTAAGTAGCTTTACATTTTACCCTATTCTTCTCCTAGTTCACCGGCCACTTACTTTCATGTATTTCGTGAGAAACAACAGATCCGATTCTCTGAACTGTGAAACAAACTAACATGGCGCCGCCCATCGCGCATCCAGCTCAACTAACGCGATCGTTATAAAGACGTTTAAACAACAAAACACATCCACTTGCACATATTTGACAATCGGAATATCAGTGTTTCATGCTATAGCTAATACATGTGTGAATATTTTGAATAGAAAAGGAAAAAAGACATAAAAGCAGATCATCACTCATTCAGCTCTGTGTTGTGATTGCGCTGCGTCACGTGACAAGAAATGACGCGTCACCATGGAAACATTAAAGTGACAGGTTCTAAATAACGGTCGCCTTGAAAAACTCACGCTGGGGGGTCAGTTAGAATATTTTAAACGTACGTGCGAAAGGGTTAAGTAATCGTTAAGTGTTGCATAAAACCCCTTAACGGTAATTTCCCTAAGTATAACTTAAGGTTTGGAAATCGTAACCTTAAGAGTAACGCGGACAAAAATAAGACGACATGGCTGAATTTATGAAACCAGCTGAAGAACCCTTTGGACCAATTTAGCCATGAAAAATTGTTGCAAAAATATCGATTTGATCGACGCGCAATATTTGACATCGCTATCAAACTAGACGGCTGTCTGTCATTACACGCGACTGGAAGTGGACATGTAAACTATCACAACGTTAAGTCAGTGCGCGCACGGAGAGTGTGTGGCCGACAAAAAAATTACAGGAGAACGAGCTGATTCTGTGTTTTAAAAGGAATCATGACAGAAGAAAACAGGTATGCTATGGAAATATACTCAGCTGTATTTCGAGACACAGAGCCAGAAGTGCATTCACAAAACCTAAACAAATGCCAAAGCATGAGACGCGGTGTTGCGTGATAGCGTCACTGGACGGACACGTGATATTCCGACATGTTAGTGTTTTGCGTATCTATGGCAACAACAGACTTTTATAACGTGAATCCAGGATCGCTGTCGTGAAACACTTAAATGTTTCCCTTACCTAAGAGAACCGTTTAAGAGATTATATGCAACACCCTTAAGTTGTTCTCTTAGGTAAGGGTAAATCGCCCCTTAAGTATCATACTTAAGGGAAAAACTTAAGGTGCTTTATGCAACCGGGCACTGGACCTTTAATTAACCCTTATATGAAGTAGTTAATGCTTATATGCATCTTATAAGGTCTTATAAGTGTCTTATTAACTGTTAATTACTGCTTATTACAAGCACCTTAAAATAAAGTGTTACCGAAAAATCTTGCCTCATTTTAAATTGTCTTAGAATATGTTCATTTTGTCAAAGAGCCTCAAAGAAATAAAATTAAAATAGAATTTCTGAGTTTCATCAGAACATGCAAAAATTACATTCAAGTGCTTTATGTACCAATTTAAGTTCTTTCATTAACCGTTATTAGTTTGTGGATTTAAGACTGTTTTGGAATGTGAGTGCATTGCAGATTTCCAATAAGTGATTTCTGTATGTGGTCAAATGAAGAATGAGACGGCTCTATGTATGTAGCTTTACAACAAAGCAGGCTGGGATCAAGTCTGTCCATTCCCACGCTTGCTTTCTTCAGAAATCATGTGCAGGCCTACCAAACATATTTTAGCCTCTGAGGCAACCAGCACATTAACTATCAGCAAAAACTATTGGTAACACTTTACAATAAAGTCATTAACTAACTATGCATTAACAAAGATGTATAAATGCTTTAATGAGCAATACATTTGTCAATGTTAGTTAATAAAATTGCAACGGTTCAATCCAAGTTATCTCAGGTCCATTAAATAATATTCAAAAATCCGAAAAAGGTGTGCACATCGAAAACAATGATATACAAAGAAAATAGAGTTCCGCACACTGAAATTGCAGCTCCAAAGAGTTTATTTGCCAAACAGCGCAACATTCTGACCAGTCAGATCTTCATTTTCACGTGCCTGAAGAAGATCTGACTGGTCGAAACGTTGCGCCTTTTAAACTCTTTGGAGCTTCAATTTCGGTGTGTGGACCTCTATTTTCTATCTTCATCTATTAAATAATATTAACAGACAAAATTGTTGATTTTCACAATGTATTAGTAAATGATGAAATTTAACATGAACAATATTAACGAGGAAAGATATTTCTAAAGAATTTATTAATCTTAGTTCATGTTAACTAGTTAACAAATGGAAACTTACTGTAAAGTGTTACCAAACTATTTTATTGCTGCGGTCTGAGTATAATCAATATACAATCATGTCATCCCTAAAAATAACTGTAAAACAATTATTTCATGCAATTACAAGACTTTTTGCAATTTGATTATAATCCAGATTACACAGCCCGTTACTACCCAACACAGTAAAGGGTGAGAGTCCAAAATAAAAACCCTTCAGGGGCCTTTCAATGCTTTATGGAAAGTTGACTGGGTTATTTGAGGTGACTGTGGCTGGACTTTCCATGGCACTGCATCTATTCACATGGGCAGAGAGAGAAAGCGGAGTGAAATTGGCATTAAAAGCTTACTCATTCTGCCATTTCCTCTCCTGCCCATTAACTTCCAGGGTAATCAAAGAAGGACAGGAAACACTTGAGCAAGGTAGTCCAGGAGTGAATCCAAGGCTAAGGCATGGAGACCAAAAAAAAACACACACTCTATACTGGCATAAAATAAGACCCATTAAGAGAAAATTAGTTTATCCATTCTAACGACCCACATATTCATTCATAAAATGGCCATGAATATTCCTAAAGAAAATAACCACTAGAAAGTCTCCAAAGTCACAGTTTCCAGAAATAAGAAAACCCC